ATGCATCAATATCGTAGTGTTTATTATCATCGCAAACTTACCTTTCCTATACTTTTTTACACAGTTTGTGTTCGTGAATATCTTCCTGACCTTCTTTGGCTTGGCAGTGCTCTCCGTAACGCTAAGTCTTATCGCTTCAAATATCTCACATCAAATGCAGAAAGCGTCCTTTATTGAGAAACTCAAAGATCAAGAACTGAGTGATGTTTCAGTYGCTTCTGATGATCTAGGGCCTGGTGATGAACAGGCTAGTGACAAGCCAAGTGGAATGGCGGGAAATGAGGCAAATGGCGGGAAAACATACGGCAGCACGACACCATAGATATACAYAAACACCTGTCAATCAAATTACACAAACCCAGCATGAATCATGYAGTACCGGTCACTAAAGCACGATGGGATATGTGATATCTTATGCTATTATTGTGTTACTCCAAATGCATTTGGAAACGTATAAATAGGGTGATCTGGGATAAAATCAAAATAAGGAGCTTATATCAATATAAATTACCAGTATGGGATTKACTACTCAGGGACCGCGGTTGTAGGAAGGGTTAATATCGCAAATGACAGGATAAAATCCATACCGTCACTTATAGAGTGGGTAACTTAATCCACCTTTTATACCGACTGCCCCTGAACATTTGAAATGATAATGCGAAAAAACTCAGTTTTTTTATTTTTTTAATGTAAGTTTGAAATCTAAGAGTTATTTCTTTAGTATAAATATCTGCCACAAAACGCTCAGAAAACATATATACAATCACGGCAAAAAATAAAAAACTCTGAGCAAAACATTATTAACTTCAGAATAAATTTTAACTTGCGTTGCACTTTTTATTCACTTCTTAACGGCGAGAWTTAACTTGTAGTATATTTTACTAGTCATTGATGCATTATTTGCCTGAAATAGTTTCAAAATAATCAACCATCAAGGTTTAYAAAAGTAAATAGCTTATATATTAGAATTTGTAAAAATAAGGGTCAGTTTAGGGAGAGTATGTGAATAGTACAATCGATAATAATTAATAGTTTCGTGTTGAACCTTCGTCAGTAACACTAACCACTTTACAATGAAAGTCATAATTTTACAATAAACATCGATTACAAAAAGTTGACTAATATTTTATGAGTTCATCGATTCTTACTTCAATCCAGACCGTTCTATGAACGCCTTAATAGTTCATGCCATCATAATCGCTCTTGTTTCTTTGTACATATTTTGTTGTTGTTATTATTTTGCTCGGTGATGCCGATTGTTGTTTGTTTTCTTTATTGTTTCTGTAGATATGGTGTTTTCATTTTGCCGTTTATATTTGTTGTTCAACTTAAAAGTGTCCCAGGGCTACTTGTTGGAAGAGGAAGAAGGCCGGCCCGACATTTCGTTGACTTCTCGTGAATCGCAAATAGAAAAGCCGGGCTATTTTTGTATGTCAGAATGCTTTGATGTAATCCAGGATGTTTCAGTTTATAGGAAAATCCAACCTTGCCATTGGTATTGTAACGCTATTTCAAGCGTTGCTCATGCTGAATCCTTTTTCGATGAGGAACTTGATAATCTTTTAGAGAAAATCTTTGTCTTTGGCTTCCTTTGTTCTTCTAAAATGAAATAAAATCACTGTGTTCTTAAATTTTGAATTGTCTTGTCATTGTTTTGTTTATCGCTGAAATATACTCTCGTGCGGATCATGAGATGTTGAGCAAATCAGAGCGTATATAAATCAAATGTAAACATTACAAATATTATGAATACAATCATGACAACTGAAGTGAATACAGAAATCATGTTTCAGAGCGACGCTAATTATTTTATTTGAAGAAATGCTTATAAACAAAAACATTTTTTGTCCAAAGTCAACTCTGATTATAAATTAATATCCTAGTATATAAAAGCTATAATTATTTATGATACATTTATATGTAAAATCTTACCTTCATCATAGTCAGGAAAAATATCGTACTCAGGACTTTGGTACGGCACGGGTCCCGTAAGCAAACACGCAAAAGAATACGCGATCGCACAATACCTCTCAGACTTTGATTTTTCAGCCAAAATTGCTTCAATTTCAGGATCCATGTTTTTATGCTWYTAATTTGTACAAAACTTAGWGTAASTTTGATTAAAAGGTTATTCGGTTCTGCGGAACTGAATGYGGTTCAGTTTATATTGTTCTTGACTGCGGATGTGCGTAGTCGAGGCGTTTCACGTCGTTGARATGTATTGCCTTGAATGGCTATGTCAGAACCTGACTAGTTGCCTTTTATAAGCCTCGAGATATTCCCCTGACTTCTTATTAAACTATCCTTCATATTTAGTCATCACTTCAAATGGCTATTTGTTTTACGGAAGTGATAATAACGCCTACACTTATTAGGGGCTATTAAGACTAATCATTACATTTTACGTATACCCGACAGACAACGTAACTGAAAGAACAGCTAACGTCTTTAGCCTGATAAATCGATGTATAACAATCTAGGACACCATTGAAACGTACTGTTTATATTTGCTTACAATGAAAACACTTTTAAGCTTTTGATTTATGATATTTTAATGTCGCTTGCACTTGTTGAATAATCACTATTAAGTCCAGTGACTAAAAGTTGGAGTTACCGGCCGGGAGTGCGTTGGCGTAGGGTATTCCCCATCACCGGTATTCGAGGACTAATACAATAAAGTGTGTTTATTACACATCTATTTATTACCTGGACAGTGTGAATTTTCTTTAACACTTAAATCTTCAGAAAAATCGTGAGAAGATATAAGTGCGATGCAAAATTCCAGGCCGGTGGCAATAAAAGCGCATTGTAAGCGGTGGTGAAAAAATAAGTAAAATGAAAGTGCACGACGCCTAACAAAACAGTTCCTAAGTCAATATTTGGAAATGTTACAAAGTCCCTTATAAAAATTCCTTCAGAGGAACAAACTGGATGTCTTTCTTAGGGGATACAAGTAAACCACCGACAACTCTATCGCCCACGCAAATGAGCCAATGAAGTCATTAACATCCGGCCAGCGGGTCAAGGTCAACATCAATCTGGGCATGCGCATGGTGCAATAACATGGCGGACGAATCGCCTGGAAAAAGTTTATGGCGAATTTTAAATGCTAAATAGTGAATGGTAAGTCTATAATTTAGGAAAAAAGGCAAAGACGTATATCTGAATGGCATTTCTTTGCTCCTTGTGTTAAAGAGCTGACGAAGAGTTGAGGGAATCATGGGTGTTAAAGGACTTTGGCAACTTCTAGAACCTGTCGGACGACCTGTCACTCTGGAATCACTTGAAGGAAAAGTTCTTTCTGTTGGTATCCTTTGCTTCGAGTTGTTTTGACTTATTTGTATGAGGCTTTTTGTGTTCAATAACATTTCCAAATATATATCACTAAGATATTTAAATAACTCTCTGAATTCTTTTAGTTCGTTAATGTTGTTGTCGCTTTTTTCTTCTTTTTCTTTCTTGTTTCAATTTTTTCTGTATTCAAATTTAATTCTCCATTTTACAATAGATACGTCTAAAACATTATTATAGTTTTTCTCTTCTGAACTTTAAATYTTAATAATACTTATTAAAGAGCTTCATAATTCGAATAGTTATTTAACTTTTCTACTTTATTTAACCTGCCTAGACTAGCTTTAGCTAATTGCAGGTTAGACTTGTAATTATTATTATTTGAAGTAATAAACTATCTGTTATCTGTTATCTCAAAGGGACGGGTTTTGAAGCTTCTGGTAATATTTGCACGATAAATATATCTATTTTCTGCAAAAGTTGTGCCTGTCAGACCCATTCTGTTAGTTTCATGATATGTATTCTAAGAAGTTACTGAGTTTTGCAAATCTAGGATATACAGTAATAATATATATTGACAACAAAAGGGCACTTTACAATAACAATAATGCTCACCTATTSATCCTTGATACTATTTATGAAGATGCAAGTATACTATTGAACCAAGCTGTGAAAGGGATGCGAGACAAGTCAGGACAGCCTGTTCCTAATGCACATCTGGTTGTGCTGTTTAATAGACTGTGTAAACTACTGTTTTACAGGGTGAAGCCTGTGTTTGTTTTTGATGGAGGAGTCCCTGTTCTCAAAAAGAAAACTCTGGTGAGCAAGTAAACCATTCAAATGGATAKGGAAATAATAAAATATAAGCAATTTCAATTAATCATGTTTTTAATATTCATTTAGGCTGCAAGAAAAGAAAGAAAGTTGAAAGCTAGATATGGGTCAAAYAAAGCTGCAGAAAAACTGATWAAAAGTTACCTCAAAGGAAAAGCTTTGGAAACAGTAACTGGAAGAAAGAGGTTTGTTGTAAAATGAGAAGAACATGATTCATTATCATAATTTTATGAAGATAATATGTAATGATATATTTTTGTGTGCAGTGGAAATAAGATCTTCCAAAATAACAGTCCTAGAGAACCAGATATGTTTGAAATCACTTCTCTTCCTGAGACCAAATCTGCAAGGTAAATAACTACTATGTTACCTCTTTGATGATACGTTTTCTGTTTCTTATTCAGTTGTTTGCACTATATTTATTTTACGGTTATTAACCTATTTTCATCTTGTTTAGCTCAGAAGAAGAAAATGAATTCAGTTTGCTTGAGGAGTTTTATGCCMAAAATGATTTCGAAGTAAGTTTGTTGGTGTTATTTCTTGTTTGTAGTATTTTGATCTAAGYTAATCTTTTTCCAAAACAGAACAAATTCCAAGATCCATCAATGATCAATGTTGACTCTGAGGATTTCCGTTGTCTACCAGAAGAAATACAACATGAACTGATCAAAGATAAGATGGAAGAGAAAAAGTTTACTGGAATGCATGATATGCCACAGGTAAAATTGAACTGTTCCTTCAGCTAGAACAAGTCAGTGGATCATTGGATGTTATGTATTTTTTTATTCCTCCTTTCGTCAACCAGATTAAATCTTTCTATTTTAATTTTAAGGATGGCTTTGATTTCTCAACTTTTCAACTTCAAAGTGTTTTACAGCGTGGAAAACTCCACCAACGACTTGATGAACTTCGCAAAAATATGAATAGTCGAAATACCGGTGAAATTTCAGGATTRTCTTYTGAGGATTCACTAGGAGCTGAATGTAGTGTTCAGTCCAGGAGAATTGTATCTGAAGACACTGGACATTATATTCTCGTAAAAACCATGAAGGCTAATGATGATAACACWGGTAAATCATTATTATTATTATTTTGTTTGCAACTTTCTATATTATTTCTTTCTTTTGATTATGTGTTATTCTTTTTATAGAATGTGCAACAGGTGATGATTCCAATGAAGGTGGGTTTTTCCATGACAATCATAGTATGCAGACTGTGAAACCCACTGTTGCTCCGTCATTTATGGACATTGACCTGACTGGTGAGCATGACAGTGACTCTGAAATCACTTCTCCCCTAATGGATGTTCCTGAGATAGATTTGTCTTCGTGTTTGACTACACATGACACAAAAGTATCATATCCAGCAGAAAATTACATAACAACAGAAGAGAAAACTGAATATTTACAGTCAAGCATAGGAAAAATGGCTATTGATTCACAAGGAGAATCAAAGAAGCTACATGACTATAGWGCAGGGTTGGATGAAGGAGATAGTTGTACTAAAGGAGATGTAGTTAATCTAGATGAATGTAATGATAGATTGAATACAGCAAATGATGGCTCAGATACCAGAGAAGAAATCAGTAAAATGTATGAAAGGTTTAATACATCAGAAAATAGCAACGGTGGAGMGGAAAGCAAAGGGCTAAGCGAAACAATGAACACAASCAATRTTACTWATRCAAGTACTGATAAAGRAAACRAAACTKTATCACATGAGAGCTTGMTTGAAGAGCAGGATGATATGAGCTCCAYTGAGGTTCAAACATCAYATCAAGATRATATCCATGAGAGYATTTTACCMAGTAATRCAGMACTARTCCATGAGACTGAAACTAATGATGCTGAGATTCAAAAAAGAAAAGCAAAAATTGAATCACTTCTAAAGTCAAGACAAACTACTTTACATGATGTCCAAACTGATGAAGATGATGACACCATTCATACAAATACAGAGAATTCTGCAGAGTTTCTACTACAGTTAGAGAACAGTGAAGAAGATGAAACTGAAATGGAAATAACTAAAGAGTTGGAGGTGTTGCCAACAGAAAATAGGGAAAATGARGTGACTGTTTTACATGATGATCAAGATGATGTTACAGTACAATTACAAGATGAAGGTATGAAATAATATTAATATGCAATTGTCTATTAATAATGTTTAATAATCTTAACAGAATTATTCATCTTTCGAAAAATGGGTTGCCCAMAAAAACACTTTCAYATCYATGCATGTTAGTGAGAAGTATCGTAACTTAAAATTCTGTGGTAATTTGAAATCTCCATTTCAACAATGTCTCCTTTTCAGAAAATACATCATTGGATTTAAGCAACAAACAAAAAGAGAGTCCTGTTGCTGCAGTTTTTTCAGAATTTGCTGGCACATCAAAGGTAAATGAAGTTTATAACAAAAATGGAAAAAAATGTACAAAATAATGTGTAAATTGATGATGACAAGGCTTATGTGAGAGACTTTACAGGAACACTCAAGCTACTGGTAGTCAGTTATGGTATTTTATAATTCATTGTTGATATTTCTCATCAGGAAGACTTACAGGTGATGCAAGTCAATTTAGAAATTGAGCAAAACTCACTTCAAAGTGAACAAGCCAGACAGGCAAGAGCTGCTGCTTCAGTCTCCAATGAAATGCTTGCWGAAAGYCAGGTACATAAAATAATGCACAATATACCAACTAAAAGATATTATGCATGCAATGGAAAATCTCSTMTGGTCCTCTGCATCTGTTGTTATTTTGAGCTGAGCTGTAATTGCCAGATGTTTTGGAGAATAATGCAAAGACTTCATGTTTTAATCCCTATTTKTATTAACCATCTTTTCTGTCATTTACATGCAGGAACTACTTCAATTGTTTGGTGTCCCTTACCTTGTAAGYCCCATGGAGGCTGAGGCACAGTGCSCATTCCTTGACCTCACTAACCAGACCCATGGTACAATAACAGATGACAGTGATGTGTTTTTGTTTGGTGGACAAAGRGTTTACAAGCATCTATTCACAAACAATAAACATCCTGAGTTATATACCATTGAGGCAATAAATGGTGGCTTTGGTAAACATAGCTTGTATTCATTGATTATATTCATCCCATTATTTAGTTTCTATTCCTGTGTTACTGTTACTGCAACAGCTATAAATGTGATGATTTTCAGTCTTAGCAGCCATGTTGGTGACTYCACAGCAGCCATATTGTTGACGTCAAGGCGGCCATATTGTTGATGTCRTAGCATTCATGTTGGTGGTTCGTTGGCCAAGGATTTATCATTAGTATCTATTTTTCATACCACCAAACATGYTGGATCCTGTGTCATCATCATTCACATCATTTTTAAGAGTTATTTTTATATTATTTTCTTCAGCTCTAAATCGTTCCCAGTTGATCAAACTGGCTCTGATAACAGGCAGTGATTACACTGAAGGTATACAAGGTAAGTAGTTAAATTGGTTTGCTTTTTTATTCCTCCACTTGTACATCGCTATACAACTTGGAAGAAATTTCATAGCCACAGAGGATTTGGTGCWTTTTTATCGGACAAGTTAATAGTACTTATTTGTAGCTTCTGTTATTGATGTTATGTTTTGTTGCTTCTGTTGTTGTTTGTCCTAAGCGAATGGTTCTTTACTCTCGTTCAGGTTTGGGTGCTGTAAGTGCAATGGAGGTGTTGAATGAGTTCAATTACGAGGGATTTGAAGCTCTCCTCAAATTTAAGTAAGAAAACTTTATAGCTATAACCAATTGGATTTAGTGGTTTTAAGATTCAATATCTCGGGGACTCTTTTCAGAAAATGGCATGAAGAAACCAAGCAAAATAAACAAAAAACACAAGAAACAAAAGTCAAAAAGAAATTGGTGAGCACTACTATTTTAAATCTTCTTTTGTGATACAAATATAAAAAAAATAATCAACTAACTGAATGTTAACTTTGTTATATTTTTGTAGCGAACAATAATTCTACCCACAGGATTTCCTTCACGAGAAGTATTTGAMTCGTACATCAATCCTGTGATAGACGAAACCAGAGGAACGTTTGAGTGGGGCAAACCTGATTTGCATTCCTTAAGACTATATCCTTTGACATACCATCATCAAATTATTCATCATTTATGGCAATCTAATAATTCTTTATTTAATTGAATAGAAATTTTAGAAAGTAGTAATTTTCTTTAACCTTCGTTCACGTTTGCGGAAGAAAGGCTWGGATGGACGAGCAGTAAGACAGATGAAGTTTTACTTCCGGTATTAAAGCAACTGAATCAAAATGAAGTAAGTAASACAGGTATCCCGCAGCATACCGTGAACTGATGTCAAAGCTTGAGACTGGAGGGTAGTCATCAAGGATACATAGTCACGGAAAATGAATTGAGATCTGCCGACGATCGTGCAAGAAGAATTGAGCATGCCGTGCGATGGTCTCATACAGAACATAACCCGGCCAATTATACGCTCTGAGAGCGCAGTCTTGATCCCAAGCAGCATGATTTTATTGTGTTTTATGTTTTATTATTTTCCAACAGACACAAAAGAAAATAGACAGCTTCTTTCCGATAAAATTCCAGGAATCAAGAAAGAAATCCAGCAAGCGTGTATGCCGTGTTGTGAATCGTTTCTTGAATCCAGATCCACTTAGTGAAAGCAGCAGCGAAGAAGAAAATAAAAACAAAACGACTAAAAGATCTCTTCCCACAACATCCAGCTGCAAAGGAAAGTCAGCGACATCTCGTAAAAAAGGCGGGCCATCTCGCAAATCTCGCGRGCGAGGAAAAGTAAATAAAGTTAGCAGGGATGCCGAAGATGGAATGGTTGATCAAGATGTGCTGTTTGACTCCGATGGGGAATTCGAACGTTTGATCGCAGGTGAATCACTTACTAATGAGTCCATCAACAACAAAAATGATAATAGTAATTGTGATGATTATTCAGCCAAGCAGCTGAACGGTCGCAAAAAAGAACAGGATCAAAACCCGACAGAAAGTACTAGAAGAGAAAAGACTCATCCAAGAAATAAGAGACGATTTAATGAAGTATGGACACTTGATCCCGTTATYCCCCCAAAACACGAAAATACTCAACAAAGTAGTACAAATACAGCAAATCTCGATAAACAAATACATTGTGACGGACTTAAAAGAAAAACGGCAAAAAAACCGAACGACTCGACCAAAGAAAGCGGAGTTTCTGGTCATCAAGGTTTCTCCGAAGGCAGCTCTACCCCTTCGGACACAGATTCTGAAGATGAGCGAAAGTTTCGGATAAATTCCAAAAATATTACATCAAAGATTAAAAAAGATGACAGAATCATCGGCTCTAAAGGAAGGAGAGGGAGGGGAGGGAGGGGAAGAGGAAAAAGGCTCAAAACATTCAATTAAAATTAGATTAAAATATTTGTTTACTTGTATCTCGATACTTTATTAAGCCTGTATTTATTGAATTATATATATATTTATACTGCAATAAAAATATTCAGAAAAAGTTGTTGTTATATGTGTGTAAATTCTAATAGAATAATTCTAAGAATCCTAAAAATAATTTAAATGTTTAATAATTAAACTAATTTCATGAAGATGTAGAGTGTTTTTAGGATAATCAGTAGTTCAAGTATGTTCGATATTTTTTTAACAAAAAATTATTTAAAATATAAATGAAATAGATGTAAATGTAAACATATTTCAAAATCTTTCAACACTTGTTTTGTCTTATTTTCTTCCAAAGGACATTCAGTGTTCATATTAATAATCTCCTTATTGTATTACTTCCACAAATATGACGGAAAGCGTAGGTTGAGTGGATGAGAAACGACAGATATTTACTCCTTTGTGAATGGTGAATATTAAATCCATATGAATATTCATAGAAGCATATGCAAATTTATCGAAATAAAGAAATGAAGATTTTCGTACATAATTCAGTTCGATTCACAAGTTGATCCCGAATGAAGAGCGATGTTTTCCTTGCTTCATCGAGCTCACCGGCGAAGGAGATACGAAAGAGCTTCTTCATGGAATWACGGCGAAGATAATTCATCACTGAATGTGACCTGTATCAGGCTACTAGTAAGACAGAAAAGTAAACCTCGTGGCTAGGTCCGCCATGATTTATTGTGCCCAAAACCAAGACACTACCGCGGGGCAGCATGGGAATTACACAGGGGGCCCAATACACAACAGAATGAAACTTCAACTCCACCAACAACACCAGAGAATCAGAAAGCAGAGGGTTTCCATTTTTGTTCGTTAAACCAGCGATTGAGTAGCTCGCTAAACGATACTGGGAACAGAAAAAAAGTACCAACGAGGCAGCTGAGTATGCCAACTAGTTTAGAGAAGAAAAACGAGGATATTGTTGACAAGCTAAAGGATTTAAAACGCTCAGAACAAATCGAGAAAATTTCAAAAACCAGTGCGACGAACGAATCTGTTGGCGCAAGTGTAGAATGACACTCATCGATGTTTTTAGATTATAACTGTTGGAAATACAACGCTAATGAAACAAAACGTCAAACTTCGATCTCATCAAGGKGTTTTTTTTTCTGATGGAAAACGTCATAGACCTGCACACCAAGACGACTCCTCACCTGATACTATGTAAATATTTTATGAAAATCACTTGAATATATGACTATTTTATCCATGGAACATGTCAGTTCCAATTAAATTAAAAGTTTCAATTTATTTTTTAAAAGATGACTTCCCTTATTGTTAAATTCAGTGATTTTAGTATTTTTRTTATTTGTAACATGTCGTTTGCTAGAAAACCTCAATAACTAAAAACTCAACTGATGAATGTCAAGATAAAATAAATGCTATTATTAAACTATACATTTGTATCAGTAATTATGATTTGTAACTGAGAGTGAAAAAGAAAAAGTTCTACTGAAAAGAGATTATTTCTATTATTCTTCGTCATTGAATGGCGGATTAGACTATTCCACTAAACATTACATGACTTACTGACAAAGAAAAAGTAAACAAAAAAACATGTTAGTTTTACTTGTAATTGTACTTTTATAACTTCTTTTTGAATATCACTTTTTCTGCAAACTGATTATGGTCACTAACGTACCAAAGGGTTTCGCCAAATAGTGTCAATATTYTTATGGTATGTGGATGCGACAATAACAACGGATAAGAAAAAATCGGGCGTCTATAGAACCAAAAAAAAAAAAAACATTTCCTATACATGTCATATTTTATTGCTTCTTGATATCTTTATAATCTGTTTTTAAAAGCATCAATGCGTCCATTAATTTAAGAAAGCAGTTAACAATATATCTTGAAATCGTCGGCAATATTGCATCCGTTTTGTTTGGGTATAATAGTTTAGTTCCTTTTTACAGAGAATAAAAACTCAGCGTGCTGTTCACATGACTAATAGCCATTATACAGCCTCATGTGGTTATTAGCAGACATTAGCACGTACTGTTCTATGCCTTTTAGACTACAGCCCAGTTGTTATTGAGTATTTTACTGACTTAACAAGCCCTCTTGAACTGATACACGTCCTGCACGTACAGATCTCTGAGGAAGGTGTATCACTTCAACTCAAGAAACTGAACTCGAAAAGAATCAAAAACCCATTCAAACCGTTGAATTCAGGTTTCTCGCCGTTGAATTCCACTTGAAATACCCTCTCATCCGGTTGACGTGTTGACCAATCAACGCACGACTTTAAAATTGAGGTATGAGATTCTGTGGAGTATTTTACTGACTTAACAAGCCCTCTTGAACTGATACACGTCCTGCACGTACAGATCTCTGAGGAAGGTGTATCACTTCAACTCAAGAAACTGAACTCGAAAAGAATCAAAAACCCATTCAAACTAAAATGACGAAGCAAAATAGGCCTCAATATTATTGTTAAGGAGCGATAAGAGAATGTTTATATGACGACATAAATGGAAATTCACTAATAAACAAATRAATCATTGAATGAAAGAACATTTGAACAAAAAAATAGAATTGTCTCATTCATGTCTAGTGTCAAATGATTCGAGGTGCCTTTATACAKGTTAAATTTGGTGTCTGATACTGAGTGGAGATCTGATAGAAAGGCCATATATGCTAGAGYACTAGGTGATTAGTAGGATGAAGGCCGGATTCACTATATCTGYAGAAATCAGCCTTGGTTAATGGCAGCGACCGGCTTTCTTTACAAGTGAATGATAGGAGCCATTATTCAGGGTAGTAGTAATGGACTCCTGTGGATGATTAAAATTATTTTCAGTATTATTTTTTACTTTTTACTTTTTGAAAATACAAACTAAAATAATTCCTGATTTTCAAAGATGTCGGTACGTTCAATTGATTTTTTTTTTCTTTTTCTTTTTTTCATCTACTGAAACATGTATGACTTTGCGTCTGCTCAGGGGTGATATATCTATTTTGGTTGTCAGAGAAATAAAGCTCCGACGTGTCGAAGTCAGAAAAATTCCAATTCTAAAAAGCATTAAAGGTTTATAACCTAATTTAATGTCATTATGTGTGAGAAGTAATAAACCATTACCCACACACACTGTGCTTTTTGTCTTGTTATTGTGCATTTGATTGYCTTTTTGTCCAAAAACAATCAGCTTCCAGTCTTTCCTGCTATGGTTGCTAAGAGACAAAAGCATTCACTTCATTATAAGCCACAAAAGCTAGTTAATAGTCAACTTATCTGTCTKTGAAGCAAATAAGACCTTGTTTGGTTTGTTTTTAATTATTCTGATAAGTCTCTTTCGGTGTGAAATGTGTGTTTAGTATGGTTTTCGTCGTTAGAGAGCAACAAAACGTCGCTCAAAGAGATCACGGTCAATTAATCCGTTGTCAAAACTCCTGCTCATATGCTTGACTGGTCGGTTTTTGTCGTACTTTCATGTCTTTTCTTCTAAGCGCTCGTGGTTGAGTTCAAATGGTTTGAAAAACAAGCTGCCAACTATCATTTTGAATTCCTCGTTTCAAAATGTCTTCTCGTAAGAAGCATGTAAGTGCAAAATATCTTGCTAATTGTTCGTGAATGTCTTCAGCTCTGTGACTTTGGTGATGAATAACCTTAAATGTTTTCTTTCAGAGTAGAAATCGATTGTTACATGTTTTTATTGACTATAGTTGTTTTTCTTTAGGACGATCCGAGAGCTACAGCACTTAAAGAAACCCTTAGGGACACAAAACATAAATTTAATAAGGTTAGAAAAATCTCGTATTCGTGTTCTCTCTAAGCAGATGTGATTATCGCATCATTTATGCTAATGCTCTAAGAAGATATCAATGTTTCTTCCGTGAAGCGTTCCTTTRTGTCTGTTATTTATTGTCTACAAGATTATTCTTCTCAACAAACGTAAATTTGCCCTCTAAACCGTTATCAAAATTGTGCCGTTAAACTCGCAATACGGCGAGTTTTTCATAAAGTTTGTTTTATTTCGAAATGAAAGCATCTTTGTATATCTTCTGCTGTAATAATAGTACAGAGTGAAGTGGGCCAAAGGACGTGCGCAAATAGAATCATGTAAAGTAGAGAACACTGGTCTACAAAACCATGTCATATCAGTGTGCGCGCACACATCRCAGTCTTCAACTAGAGCTTCCTTTAACTTTGCCGCGCACATAAAGGCTAGTAGCAAAAAAACGCGCTTCAAATCTAACTCAACATGGCTTTTTTATGAGATCAAGTACTTAGAATTTACAAAGGAAGAAAAAAACATGATAAAAATAGAAATTTGAGATGCGTACTTTTCAATAAATGTCTGGCAGACTTGTTATTTTAATAAAACAAAACAAACAAACCAACTCCGACTGATWTTTCAAATGGTCCGCATTCAATATCGTGACATTCGAATATTAATTTGTATGACCTGCCATCATGTTTGATTATGAAAAAGTGCAATTATAAAAAAACCGATCATAAAAAAGTGCAATTATAAAA